TGTTTGGGAGTTCTCCCGTTGCAATTTATGTTACAGGACTCGTCAGGTGCTTGTTGTTGTTGTTGATGGCTGGTTGGTGTGCTCTGTGCATGGTTTGTGTGACCACCACCGCCGCCGTTGCGTGTGCGCGTTTGAGTTGTGGTGAGTTTTGGGTTAAGTGGGCGAGTGAGTGCTGCTCACGGCTGTCTTTGGCTGCTGCCATTCACAGAGCCGTCTCTGTTGTGTGCAGGGAGGAGACGTGAGAAGCCGCTGCACCCTGGTGTGGCCGTGATGCGCGTGCCTGGTGTGCCGTGATGCGCGTGCCTGGTGTGCCGTGATGCGCGTGCCTGGAGTGATCGCGCTACACTCTTCCCTCCCTGTTGTTTTTGTTGTTGTCGTGGTTAAACCCTGTACATGCAACGCTGTTTGTTGTGCTGCATCGGTGTCGTTTGCGTTTATTTGTAAGTGCATGTGCATGTGTGTGCATGTGTTGTTCGTAAGGTTGCGTGTGAGGTTGTGTAAGTCGGTGTATACTTTGCAAGTCCCACATGCCTAACCCCCTCATAAAAGCCAAACCAAATATGTAGCGTGCAGGGGTGTTTGCAGTGGAAGTGTGGGTGTGGGGGCGTTTGCAACGTGGGGAAGATAGAGTTGCTGCTGCTGCGCAAAGCAAAACACGACAGCACATCAAACAGGTTCAGACAAGTTTTAATCCGTGATTTCTTGCTTTCTCTTTTTTGGCGCCAAAACAACAAGAGACGACCGCCAACACACACATCACACGACATCACGGATACGAACACACACACACAAGCGTGCCTCAGCCAGATTCAGCCCTCTTGTCGTGCCCTCGATTGAGCTCACACTTGCTTCTCCTCCTCACCCTTCCAACCAACCATGGACGGTGGCTTTGGTGGTGGCGGCTTTGGTGACTACAACACATCCAATGGCGGTATGCACGCTGTACGTGCGTGTCTGTGTGCGTGTGTCTCTGTGTGTCTGTGTGTGTGTATGTCTGTCTGTCTGTCTGTCTGTCTGTCTGTCTGTCTGTCTGTCGATTTCTTGCATGGTTTTTGTGCCGGGGGTGCGTGTGTACCCTTATCTCATTGTTCGATCCGCGTCTCACCGCGTGCTGCTGCTGCGCCGCTGCTCAGGTGGATTCATGACTGGCGAAGGCGGTGGCTTTTCCAGCCAGAGCCCCGCAGATGCTGGCATCAAGGTTCGCTGCAGCACCATTCAGTGTGTGTGTCTGTCTATGCAGCGAGGAAGAGATCTACTCGTGCACACACACGCACACACACGCACATACACACGCACATACACACGCACATACACACACACAGAGCACACACATACACACACAGAGCACACACACGCGCACACACGCCAACACGCACACACGCACATTTCTCCCTCTCTCTCTTTCTTACACAACACAACAAACAAAACACATGTGCTCACGGTGCCTTGTTGTGTGGATGTGTGCGTGGATGTGTGCGTGTGTCTGCCCACAGCGCATCTCCACAGTGACGCCCGTGTGCGTGAAGCAAGTCAAGGACGCGCAGCGCGGTGACGACACCAGCTTCATCGTCAACGGCGTCGCTGTGGACAAAGTCGCCCTGGTGGCCGTCATCCGCAACGTGCAGCAGAAGGCCACCCGCATCTCCTACAACGTGGAGGACCACACGGGTCTCATTGATGTCATGCAGTACCTCTCTGGTGGCGATGACGAGGAGGAACCCCAAGTCCCAGAGGAGGTGGCACAGAACAGGTGTGCGTGTGTCTGTGTGTGTCTGTGTGCGTGTGTCTGTGTGTGTCTGTGTGTGTCTGTGTGTGTCTGTGTGTGTGCGTCGATACTGTGGTGTCGCTGCGCCAATGTCGCAGTGTGTATCCATGCTGTGCCCATGCCGGAGTGTATACCCATGCTGTGCCTTGCAGCGGTGGTGTGTGCGTGAGCGCAAAGCACTGCCATGCATGCGCCCTACCTGTGCTCACGGACCGCCATTACGCTTGGCTTCGCTTCCTTCGTGGTTTGCGCACAATGGTCCAGGGAGGGCCGCTACGTGCGAATTGTTGCGTCGATACGCGCGGGCGAGGACGACTCAAAGCGCCTCAACGCGTTCCTCATCACCCCAATCGACGATCACAACGAGCTGACATACCACTTTCTCAATGTCGTCTACGCCAACTTGGTCAGCAGCCACGGCATCCTCGGCGTAAGTGACTCCCCCCCCCCCCTCTTTGCTGGCGTGCTGAACACTTGCTTCCGCTGCTTGTTGTCCACCACCACCTTGCTCCACCACCACCTTGCTCCTTGCCTATTGTGTTTGTGATCCCCCGGCCGGCCTTCTATTTATTCGTGATCCACTCACATGCAGTCCTTTCTTTGTGTTTGTGTTTGTTCCATTTTCTCACCCCCCCCCCTTCCCCTTTCAACCACGTTTCACCCACAGGAGCGCAAGCTTGGTTTGCAGGCGGGTCAGCCGCGTGGCTCACAACCGTCCCAGGCCGGTATGGCTGGGCAAGGCATGGGCACGGCGACCAACGGCGCAACCGCCTTCAACAACACACCAGTGCGTTGATTTTCTGTGCATGTATGTGTGGTGGTTGCGGTGCTGCTGCTGCTGCTGCTGGTGGTGGTGGTGATAGTTGCGCTCACTCACACACACACACGCACACACACTCGCACACACGCGCGCGCACACACACACACACACTCTCACACTACGCCTTGTGTGTGTGATGAAACAGATGGACACGGGACTTCCTCGCAACTTGCAGGCTGTGCTCAACGTCATCCAAACAGAGGGCAGCGCATCGGAGACAGGTGTTGGCATGTCCACCATCCTCGACCGCCTCAGACCACAGGGCTTCAACGAGCCACAGATCAGGTGCGCGTGTATGTGTGTGTGTGTATGTGTGTCTGTGTCTGTCTGTGTGCGTGTGTGCTGTGTGTGTCTTGTCTGTCTGTGCGTTTGCGCATGAACACTGTTGCTCAACCTCATCAAAAGCATGGACACTATCTTAACCTTTGGTTCCCCCCTCCCAAACACACACACACACACACACACACACACACACACACACACACACACACACACACACACACACACACACACACAGGTCTGCTGTGGAGGAGCTGCTGAACGAAGGACAAGTGTACTCGACCGTTGATGACGACCACTTCAAGAGCACAGATGATTAAACCCAACGGATTCAACCCCCTACACATCCCCACTCACACGAACGTACACACACACACACACGCACATGCCCTTGCCCACAAACACACGTGCGTGCATTATGCTGTTCCCTTTCCCACTGTTAGTAGCTCCCTGTATGCGTTTGCGTTGTTGCTTATATGTTGGCAACACGCCACCACAGCCTCTCTCTGCCTCCTTTCGTGTTTGCTTAAGCAGCCCCTTCCCCCTTCGCACATCCCCGACCGCCTTCTTTGATGGACTGTTCAATAATCACTCACCAACGCAAGAGAAAGCTTCATGTCATGATACAATACACAAAGACGAGGGAATGCAAATAGATACATGGCATCGCTGGAAGAAAGATACACACAGCTAAATACAACTTGATACAAACTCGGTTCAGGTGATGAAAGCGAGTTGGGACCCGGTTGGGAACAACCAACGTAGAGTACACAAAGCACAAAGGGTTTTCAATTCGCTCTCCTCCTTTCGACACATTGACCTCAACAACTCAATCTCAAATAGCACAGAGCCAGCAATATGCACAACGGCTGACGGGGTATGTTACACGTCTCACACCACACCACGCACCTACACACACACACACACACACACGCCACGCACTTACACACACGCGCGCGCCACGCACTTACACACACGCACACACACACACACACAAATCACACCACACCACACCACACCACACACCACACACACACACACACACACATCATGCACGCTCGGTGGAGGGGTCATCACTGGCTGTGGCTGCTTCTGTTGTTGCACGCAGTGGCGGTGGCGGTGGTGGTGGTGGAGTGCCAGGCAGAGTCGCTGAAGGAGTAGACGATTCCACACCTGAAGCTTGTGATGGCATGACAGCTGGGGCCACGGAGGTGGTGGGAGCACTGCTGGTGCCCCTGCCAATGCCGGTGCTGCTTGAGGTTGTCGTGGCGATGGAAGTGACAGGGGTGGCGCCAATGACACCAGTGCTGGTGCTGGCAGAGGTGGTGGGCGCAGCAGTGACTGTGGTAGCGATGCCAGTGGTTGAAGTGGTACATGTGGTGGCAGGCGATGCAGTCGTCACTACACCCACGGTTGCGGTGCTTGCAGTTGCAGCGCTGGTGGTTGTTGTGCTGGTGGTCACGGTGGCACTTGAAGGCGATGACTGGAAGCCAAAGAAGGTAGGGCCCATGATGGGGTGGGCAGTACCAGCGCCACCAACACCTGCGCCACCAACACCTGCGCCACCAACACCTGCGCCACCAGTGCCAGCACCACCAGTGCCGACGTGCGTCATGGGTGCACCGCTGTGCATGTAGGCCTGAGCCACGTTAGCAGGGGTGTAGGGATAATCACCACTGGCATGGGGATGGCCCGCGTATGGTGCTGCGGATGTGGGCGCCAGGCTGTACACAAGCCCCGAATCAGACCACTGCTCGAAAAACGAGGATGGAAGCCGCTGCCTCACGCGTGGCTTGGTCGTGCAGACCACGCAGGAAGGATCCGAACACATGGGCAGACCCGTGCTGGGGTTGACAGTCGTCTTGTGCGCTGGTGGCGGAGGTGGTGGCTGGTTCGCTTCGGCCACCTTCTTCTTCACTGCAGCCATCATCGCCTCCTGAAGAAGTGTCGTTGAGACGCTGGACATGGGCAGCGTCTTGCGTTTGGACTTTGCTGGTCGCTGATCTTCACCAGGCGTTGTGCTCGCAGGGAACAAGCTGCTGCTGGTACTGCTGGTGGTGTTGGTGGTCACAGGCGTCGCAGTCGTGTCGTTAGTGGTGATGGAGCTGCTTGTGGTGGCGCGGCTTGTGAATGCTGGTGGCGTCGTCGTGGTCGGCAACGGCGTGCTTGCTGAGCCGCCACTCGTTGTTGTCGCGGTGCCGCCGATGCCGGCTGCGTTCATGCTGGCGGTGCTTGCGGAGATGGCTGTGGAGATGGGCCCTGGTGGCAGCAGCACTGTATGTGTTGGAGCTGGTGCTGCTGCCGGTTGCGACCAGGACGATTCTCCGCCCGTCGCACAAGCCACAGAAGACGGCATGGTGCTCACAACCCTTCTTCCCGTGGCAACCGCTGGCATTGCTGACGAGGCCATCGGCTGCCATGCAGGTGCAGCAGTAGCAGCAAACTGCCCCCTTGTGCTTGGGTTGTAGAAAGCCTGCGTAGCCGTCGTCGAAGACGCAGTGCTCACCGTGGTCGTGCCCACTCCACCCAAGCCGGCCGCCGTGTAGAAACTGGCATTGCCCATGGCTGTGTTTGGCATGCTCGCCGCTGTGGTACCCGCGGTAGCAATGCCAGCGCCTGTACTTGTCACGCTCGCTGCCGTTGACGCGCCTGGCGCGGCGATTGTGCTGCCCGGCACTGAACAACCAGTATCGGTATCCGGGGACGCAGGGCGCGATGAAGACAGGCTGACCAAGGCCAAGGCGGCTGTCGTTGTGGCTGACACGGCCGCGGGCCCTGTGCTCTCACTCGCGCTCGTGGCGGTGGTTGTGGTGGTGGCGGTGGCAGCGGCCGGCTGTCCTTCCACATCGGGTGCGTAGAGTGGCACTGTGAAGGAGGATGAGGAGGTGGACGAGGATCCGGCAGTAGCGGATGCAACATTCATAGGTTTTACAGCAGCGACAGCAGCAGACGAAGAAGAAGAAGAAGTTGTTGTTGTTGTTGTTGTTGCTACTGTTGCTGCTGTTGTTGTTGTTGCTGTTGCTGTTGCTGTTGCTGTTGCGGCTGCTGTTGTTGAGGCGGTGATGCCCTGCACAGGCGACGGTGACATGGCTGGTATCATTGTCATGGGCACGCCATGTGACCCCACGGGATGGAACATGAGAGGCATGTGCGCCATGCCCGGCATCATGGGCATCATGCCAGGTGGTGCGGATGGCGCTTGTGCCATGGCTGCCGTGGACATGCCAGACATGCCATGTGTCGGTGCTGTGGTTGCTGATGGCAGCGCTGACGTCTTCGTCGGTGCCGCTGCTGCCGCGTCCGGTGTTGTTGCTGTTGTTGCAGAAGCAGGTAGCATTGCCACTTGTGGTCCCCAGTGCATGCCACCTGGAGCTACCCAGTACCCGTTGGTGACCACAAACCCCATGTGTGGATGTGGATGCTGCTGATGACTCGCGCCGTGTGGCTGGATGAACACAGCGCTGTTGTAGACGCTCATGCCCTGGGCCTGCAGCGGCCGTGGACTGCTGACGCTGGTCTCGCCTTTATCTGCTTGCCCGCGGCTGATGTTTCCGCGTCCGGTTTGACCTTGCCGCTGCCGCCCCGGCCGCTGCGCTTTCCTCTTCGCCGTTGTCACTGCGGCTGTTGTTGTTGACGGCGATGACGATGCTGAAGACGCTGCTGAGGACGACGGGCTGTCGGCGGACGTGGGCTGACTGCCGCTGCTGCTGGGGCTGACCTGTGGCTGGTTGCCGGCCGCTGCTTGCTTCTCGGCCTTCATGCACTCGACAACCTTGCGGGCCAGCGCGATGTCAATCTTCTCTGGGTTGACCGTCATCCCAAAGCGGCTCACTTCCACGACGTTGGAGCTCCGGCACTTGTGCAAGCGCGTCGTGCCGTCGGGGAGCGTTTCCGTCACAACAATCCACGTCCTGCCAGGCAAATGAGATGGGGCGTTACAAGAATAGCAAGGGGTGGAGCAAGTTGCAAGCCGTGAGTTGCACGTGGGGTGGGGGTGGAGCACACAACACACACACAACACACACACACACACACACACACACACACACACACACACACACACACACACACACACACACACACACACACACACAAGACCAGGTGGGCAGTGGTGCTTGCATGCATTTCAGCAGGGCGTGTGTGCACACGCAGCTTGCTTGCAAGCACAAGCAGGCGCAACTCAGACGAAATGCCCCACAACATGTGCCTGCAAGCATAAATGCACATGCCCACACTCACACCACACACACACACACACGAGCACAAGCACACAAGCACACAAGCACACACACACACAAGCACAAGCACAAGCACACACAGCTCCACAACAACCAGCAATGACAAGCACCAACACGATGACCACTGGCATGTACGCACGATGGAAAGTTGGGCGGTCCCGTGAGCTTGCCGCGGTGACACCCGCCACTCTTGGACTTGATCACAATGTCTGCGCCCTCTTTGAGGAAGTTGAACAGAACCGTGCTACCCAACCGCTTGAGGGCGGCGCGAGCAGGGCGAATGCCGTTGATGCGCTCCTCGGTGGGCTCCCAGTCGAGATTGGACGGGCGCGCGCTAATCTCTGGCCGGTCGCCAACTTTGAGGCGAACCCAAGTGCTGGGGAACATGGGCGGTTGCACGACGACGGCCTTTTCGCCCTCCTGTGCCTCCCCCTTGCGAACAATGCATCCTTCCAGGGCCCCGGGCAACCGCTTGACGACCACCACGTCACCTGCTTGCAGCTAACCGAACATTCGGCAACAACAAGACACAAACCGCAAACGTTAGTGGACACGCTTGGTCACATCCAACCTTCAACGGCATCCTCACCTCACAGAGCGACACAAACATCATGCCTGCAAGCACAACCTCAGAGCCGGATGAAGGTGTGACTGGCTCCACACGACAACACACACACATACACGCACATACACACATACACACGACACACATACACGCATACACACACGCACACGTCTCTCCCTCCCTGTTTCGCAACAAGCACGCACCGAGACAAACTTGAGCTTTCGCTCGCAGCGGCCAAGCTCCTCCACGAGAACTTCCAGGGCTTGGTTGACTTTGCGAGGCTGCCGCTTGGACTTTGCACGGGCCGAAGAAACCCTTGAGGGCTTGTAGGTACCGTCGCGCTGAGAAGCTGGGGGGCGCTTCGCAGCCTTGCGCTTCTTGGTCGGCTTGCGGCCCGGGGTATGCGGTGTCTGCTGCTGCTGCTGCTGCTGCGTGGTGCCCACACTGCCGCCCTCCACTGCCGGCGCTAGCGGCGGCGCTGGTGTAGCGCCTTTGTTGTCGCTGCTGCTGTCGCTGGAATCGCCGCCGGCTTCTGCCTTGCGGTAGCGCAGGGGTGGGCGGGATGCCCGCTTTGGGCGCTTGCGCACGGGCACTCCCTCGCCATTGACCACGGGGATGAGTGAAGCGGGGATGGCAGCGCCTGGCTGTGGGGTGGGGCCATGGCTCTCGCTGCATGGTGTATCTGGTTGGGGCTTGCGCTTTGCGGTCGCCCCCTTGGTGGCAGCACTCTTGGACGCCTTTGCCTTGGCTGTTGCAAGGCCACGTTTGGGCGTGGCGGCCTTGGTGCTTGTGTGCTTGGCAGCGGCGCTCTTCTGCTTGGCACCCTTTGCTGCGCGCGCCTTGGCAACGGCGTCCTTTGGCTTGCCAGCGCCAACCTTTGCGACCTTGGCCTTCTTCTTTTGCGGATGCTGCTGCTGGTGCTGCTGCTCAGAGTCGCCAGTGCCGTCGTTGCCGTTGGGTGTGTTCGCAGGCGCCACAGCCGCGGCACTAGGGCCTCTCTTTGAGGATGTAATCTCGTTTGCAGCTGCACGTAGAGCAAAAAGGAATACGTGTAGCGGTGTGAGTGAGGCAAAGGTGGACGGGAGGTGATGGAATACGAGTCATGTAGGACATGCAATGGATTCGTGCGCACGCGTTCACAAGACAAGGGACCACACACACGCTAGCATTCACATGGGGACGTGGAGGGTCGTGTCTGACATAACGTGCAACAACCGAACGCACAGCACACAGCACTGCACATGCAGACGCCACGCAGAAGACCATGCAATGACAATCGAGCGGCAAGCTGGTGGCATCGCCAGCAGACATACCTGACACGGTCGGAGTGGGCCCAGCGTGCTGAGGCTGCTCCAGGACGGAGAGTTTGGGTGCCCTGTGTGTGTGTGTGTGTGTGTGTTGTGTTGTGTTGTGTTGTGTGTGTGTGTGTGTGTGTTGTGTTGTGTTGTGTGTGTGTGTGTTGTGTTGTGTGTGTGTGTGTTGTGTTGTGTGAGTGTGTGTGTTGGGAGGGGAAAGGCTGATGAGATGGTGACATTAACATGTGCTTGCGGTAGTTGTGCATGTACAAGTGTGTTCTCTCTCAAACGGTGTCGCAGTGAACCTGCAATAAGTACTTGTGTCTGTGTGTGTGTGTGTGTGTGTGTGCGTACAATGTCGAAATGCTGCACTTCTTGGCACTTGCGCGAGGACCACCGGAGGTCTTCTTCGTCGATGGTGTCTTCTTCTTGGCGCCGGTGGCCTTTGACGCCAGTGTGGCCTTCTTCCGCTGGGTTGTCGCCTTCTTCTTGCCCTTGGTGGTGGTTGTGGTGTCTTGGGAGGCAGCTGCTGTGCCCGTCGAGGCGAGGCGGAGCTTCCGGCGCGTTTTTGGCGTCGGTGGGTCGGGAAGCTGAGTCGGAGATTGGGGGTTGTGTGGGAACGGCTGACTGCTGGCCTCGAAGACGAAGTCTGCCACGGCGAGGAGCTCCACCTCAGGGTTGTGAACCGAGTAGTAGACCCGTTTCCGCAAACGACGCAAGTCTCCGTAGGTCAGTGCCTCTGTGTCGACAAGCAGCTCGCTCGGTGGGTGCGTGGGTGCCAACGGGGCGGGTACCTTCTTGGACGATAAAGGGACCTTGCTGCTGCTGCTGCTGCTGCTGCTGTTGTTGTTGTTCTCCTCCTTCTTGCTGCTGCTGCTGCTGTTGTTGTTGTTGTTGTTGTTGTTGTTGTTGTTGTTGTTGTTGTTGTTGTTGTCCTTCTTGTTGCCGCTGCTGTGACATGCCTTGGTGGCCACTGCCGACGATGACATGCGCGCTGCTGCCGTTGCCACTTCGTCTTCGCTGATGACTTCTTCTTCTTTGGTGGAAGGTGGCGGCGATGGTTGGCTCAACGTCAATGATCCAGACGAGGAAGAGGCGGAGATTGAGCCGCGCGACGGTGACGAGGCGTGCGAGAGCTTGCGGTTGGTGGACGATGACGATGATGAGGGGCCCGCAGCAGGGTCACGCGGAGAAGATGATGGAGCTGAAGGAGCCAGTGAAGGGGACGAGGACGGGGACGGTGATGGTGGCGTGGATGCGCCGTTCTTGAGTGAGTGAGGCGTGGGTCCAATGGCCATCATGGTTGCCTTGCTGGTGGTTGAGGACGCTGACGTGTCGACGGGTGGCGGGGCGGGTGTTGTGTCGACAGTGGTGGTGGGTGGGGCGCTGGTTGCTGGTGTGGCGGGCTGCTCTAGGGCCACTTGGTCTGAGGTCGTGGCCTTCTTGGCGGTCTTGCGACCACCTGCTGTCGCGGATGCGGTTCGCGGCATGCGCTCTGTCGAGAGGCGTGTGTCGAAAGCCGAGGCCTGTCGACAGGGGTATGCGTGTATATCGTATGCTCGTGTGCGTAGCTTGCGCGCGCGTGCGTGCGGCGCGTGTTGAAGAGCGGGTTTCCGGTGGCGCGCGCGCGTGTGTCGGGGCGCGGGCTTGTGTCTATGGGTGCGTGTTTGCGCGCGCATACGTGTTGTGGATGTGTGTGTGTGTGTGTGCGCGCGCGTACGTGTTATGCGTGTGTGCGTGTGGGTGTGGGTGTGTGTGCGTGTGTGTGTGTGCGTGCGTGCGTGTGTGCGTGTGTGTGTGCGTGCGTGCGTGCGTGCGTGCGTGTGTGCGTGTTTGAGCAAGGGGTGAGCAGTTTGGCGCGTAAAAGGGTGTACTACAAACAACGCCAGTGATTCTCAAGGATGGAGGCGGATATCAACCAGCACAAACGCATACAACAAGCAGAGAGCCACCGAAGGAAAGCAAGTGAAAATGGCGCGCACCGTGGCGGCATTGTGTGCGCGCCAATGCTTACCGAGGGTGGCTAAGAGGATGCCTGAACGCGGTCGGTGCAACTTGGAGAGTTGTGGTCAGTCACAGGTGTGCGGTGTTTGAGCGTGGGCGTGCGCGTGTGCTTGGGTTCACGCGCAAACGAAGAAGTTGTGCGTGTTGTGTGTTTTGCGGTGGTCTGTGATGAGCTTGCGTATGTGTGTGGTTGGTGTTTGATGAGGGTGGCAAGGTCGGGGTTGGCGGGCTCGGTAAGAAGAAAAATCAAGGAAAATGCAACAAGATTTCTCAAATGAGCCGATCATGTCATTCGTGCCAATTCAACAAATGACATCATTCCATAACTCCTTTGAGCTGCAGCATAAAACAAACCATTTTCGCGTGATGACCACATGTGTGTGTGTGTGTGTGTTTGTCTGTGTGAGTGTGTGTGTGTGTGTGTGTGTGTGTGTGTGTGTGTGTGTGTTTGCGTGTGTGTGTGCGTGTGTGTGTGTATGTGTGTGTGTGTGTATGTGTGTGTGTGTGTGAATTCTCATGTGCGCGCGCGAGTCATGTCAACATTGGCACCCCTTCCCTGTCACTTTCCATATCAACCGGTAGGCTGTAATGGAAAAGACAAGCAAGGACAAGAAGCAGGGCAGGGGGGCACGAGGCACCAGGGCAGTATGGTGTGTTGATATGATGCAACAAAACCACAACACGTTAAGCAAAATACACGTGGACGGGGCGGGGGGACGCACGCACAGGACAGAAGGACAAACACACAAGGCAGGCATGCGATCAGGCATCTGCGTGCAGGATCTCCTCAGTGAAGCGCTGATAGTTGATACCCTACGTGTGCGTGTGTGTTTGTGTATGTGTGAGTGAGTTGAGTGCGTGTGTTTGTGTGTGAGTGTGTATGTGTGTGTGCGTGCGAGTTTGAGTGCGTGCGTGTGTGTGAGTGAGTTGAGTGCGTGTGTGTGTGTGTGTGTGTGTGCGTGTTTGAGTGCGCGTGAGTGAGTTTGAGTGTGTGAGTGAGTTTGAGTGCGTGTGTTTGCGTGCATGTACACTGTCCATGGAGAGTGAGACCAACACGACGACGACGACCACCACGACCACCACCACGACCACCACCACGACCACCACCATGACCAGCAACAGTAGTGTCGGTGCAAGAAGCGCATGGTGGAGGAAAGGGGCATGCGCAGCGGCTGACGCAGCTCAAAACTATCGCATGTCACTCACATTGTTGCGTGCATCGCCACCCTCGGCAAAGTGGCGAGCGAGTGTGCGAATCTCCTGCAGTGTCAGGTCGGCCGTGTGCTGCACAATCACGCCCTCAAACACGTCCAGTGGCAGCACCCCATGCTCCTAACAAAGCACAGCGCGGAGGCGTGAGAGGGAGAGTGTGAGTGTGTGCGAGAGAGTGTGTGTGCGAGAGAGTGTGTATGTGTGCGTGCATGTGCAAGCGGCGAGTGGATGTGAACATGCATGCGCCAATGAGGGAAAGCGCACAATCACAGTGGCAGAGTGAAGACGACGGCTACGGTCCTCCACACACACACACACACACACACACACACACACACACACACACACACACACACACACACACACACACGCAAGCAAGCAAGGCCTTCGACCAACCACTGAGTCTGCGCCCTGAAGGGCCGCCTGCACGCTCGGTGCATTGTCGCGAAGTGATTGTCTTGCTTTCGCAGACACAGCGTCCACGTCGCTCTCCGGCATCTAGCAATGGACGGGCGTGGTTGCGTTTGAGTGTGAGCGAGTGCGTGTGCGTGTGATTGTGTGTGATTGTGTGAGTGTGCGTGCGAGTGTGCGTGCGAGTGTGTGTGATTGTGTGTGCGTGCATGTTTTGAATGTGTGGGTGCACAAGCACGTGCATCGATGTACAAGGAAAAGAGACGTGTTGAACGCAGGAAGAAGCAAATAGCACGGCAGAAATGCCGACATCATGGGTCGTTGCCACTGTGTGTCTGTTTGTGCGGCTGGTGGACTGCAATCAAGCACAGCGCCCACATGTTCAAGCACAACACGCGAGGGCATCCATACCTTGTTTTGCTCCATGAAGGTAAACGTAAAGTCGGATGCGTCTGTGAGGAGGAACCTACGAAATGGCAAGGACACCGTGAGAACGTGCATGACAAGAAACCTCATCTAATCAACAACGTGGCGCGCACGCAAAAAAAAAAAAAAAACGTACACACGCACACACGCAAGCAGCAATGTAAAGCACAAGAGTGCGCTGCAAACGAAGCAGTCATTCGCAGGGGGAGCGCGGCAAACACATACCTGTGCTTGTTGGCTTCGATGACAGCACCAAGGCGGAAGTCCTCAACACCGTACGCGCGAGATGTGCCTGGCACCTTCAGCTGGCAGCGCTCAAGGAACTTGCCTGCACGCGTGTTTGGGGGGGAGGGACGGGGCGACGGGGCGAAAGTCGCTGCTGTCAGCTATACGTATGCAAGCGTGTCGACGTTCACACACAGAGAGACAGAGAGATAGACACACATACATACACGTAGACACAGACATACGCCGCACATATACACAGACACATAGACACACGCCCGCACACATACACAGACACATAGACACACGCCCGCACACATACACAGACACGCATGCATGCACAGACACCCTTACCTCCGGCGATGCCCGAGTTGCGCTTGCGGCTCTCGAAGATGGCGAGGGTGTCGTCGGCGAGGTAGAATGTGATGGCAAACTCACGGTCCATATCCACGGGGTTGTCCGTGTCCATGCGCGCCTTAAACTGCAGCGAGCGCGACCCTTCCTGACAAGTGGAACAGGAGGATGATGGGGGTTGCGGATGGGGGAATGTGAATAACACATGCATGTGAATGTGTGTTTGGGTGATTGAGGGACGGCGCAGGAAGAATCCCGGAAGCGTGGTCAATGGTGGACTGAAATGCAGGACACACGTGCACCCACGCACCCACCCACACGCACACACACACACACACGCACACACACGCACACACACACACACACACACGCACCCCCCGGCACACACACCCACACACACACGCACGCACGCACGCACACACGCACCCACCGGCACACACACACACACACCCACACACGCACGCACGCACGCACGCACGCACGCACGCACACACACACACCCACACCCACACCCACACACACACACACACACACACACACACACACACACACACACACACACACACACACACACACACACACACACACACACACACAAACTTGCTCGCACCTCGAACCACTTCTTGAACTGGCGCTTTGGGGGCTTGAGGATGAGGTGGTTGACGCTGACGAGCGAGTCCTCCTCCGTGCCAAAGCCCGTGTGCGGCGGTGTTGGCATGCGCGGGATCTCATCCTCCGGCTGAAACGCATTGGACCAGCACAGGCGCGCAAGCGTGAGGGACTCGTGTAAACGTGCAACATTTTGTTCATTTGTGCGGTTGTGCAATGGCTTGTGTAAGGGCTTCGGCAACCACTACTACGACTACTACCACCACCACCGTCACTGCTACTACCCAGCACCACCGCCAGCACCGCTACTACCATGCATGACTACCTCTTCGACGTGGATGGGCTCAAAGTGGTCCATGCCATACTTCTCCTTGTAGTATGCCTTTGTAAAATCGTCGCAGTCGCACAGCAGGACCGTGCGGCCATACACGTTGATCTCAGCACCAATCTCAAGGTCCTTGTCTGTGTAGTGTGCTGACTCGCCACTGCCCGTGTGCAGGCTGTCGAGAATGTGTCGGCCTTGCAGCCCTGATGTGTGTGAAGTGTGTGGGGAGCGTTGGGGGGTGGTGGTGGTGGTGGTGGTGAACAAACGATGGGTGTGAGCGAGAAATGCAGTGTGTGGATGGTTGTATAGCGACAGGGACAGGTGGGAATGTTCGGCAGAGCAAAGTAAGTGCCTCATGCACACACCTGACGGGGCAAAGACGTTGAGGAGGGTTCTGCTGGTGACGGCGCCCGGCACCTTGGTTTGGCCGTGGTGGTCCTGGCGGGCAAATCAAGCAGAAGCATCGGTGAGGATATAACAAAATAAAAGGTGTATGTGTGTGTGTATGTGTGTGTATGTGTGTGTGTGGAGAGTAGCATGAGGTTCCAAGGTTGAGTGTTGCAGGTGAAGAGCAACAAAATCAAGCAACACACACACACACACACACACAAAACACAAAACACACGCACACACGCACACACACACACACACAAAACACAAAACACAAATAAACACATAAACCCTCACAAACACAGAACACACATGAAACACACGCACACAAAAACGAACATATACAAACACATAACCCCTCACAAACGCATAAACACGCACCTTTGGCAGCTTCTGGCGCCGCAGGAAGACCCCTGGTCCATCGCGGCCGCTGTTTGGCTGCTGCACCTCACGGATCTCAAGTGTGTCGTCCGCAAGGAAGTAGTGCAACACAAGATACCGCTTCTCCCCAAACTCGCTGGACACCCGCAGCCACGGTTGGAGTTGCATGTGTATGTGGAGAAAGGGGGGGGGGGGGAAGGGAGGGGGAAGGGAGGGGGAATTGGGGTTGGAGTGGAGATTGGATGAGGGTGGACGACTAAAGGTGTGGAGAAGAGGATGCTGCTCAGGTCTGGCGGAATTAATTCCACGTGCACCAGAACACACAAAAAACACAAAACACAAACAAACAAACAAAAACACACAGACACACAGATACACACACGCACATACCTGTCAGAGTCGTCCCAGAGGCAGTAGAAGCGGAGGACCTTGCGGTCGTTTTCGAGAAACTGCTTGAGCTTGTCCTGGCGCTCGTATGGGCGAAGCGGCACCTGCGTCGCCTTGGCGTTCTACAAAAGTACGTGTACGCATGTGTATGTGTGTGTGCATGTGTGGTTTTAAAGTGGAGATGAGAAGCGGGAGCGTGAGGGTGAACATGAGGAGCGGTGGGAATGAGACCGGCTAAGACTGCACCAAAACACATGTCACAGCCACACAGCTGTTGAACACGGGAATGCACACATACACACAACACACACACACAACATGCAGACGTGCACACATCAACAGCACGCACCTCGCGGAGGGTTGAGTATGGGTCTGTTGGCGGCTGGAGTGGCTGGCCGACGCTGACGCCGAGCTTGGTGAGGAAGTCACGCGTGAATTTGTCGCAGTCGTAGATCAGGAACGTGCGCCCGTAGATGGTAATCTGCACGCGCACAGGGGAGGGGGAACAAGGCAATGAGTCCCTGAACAGGCACACAACACAACACAGCACACAACACAACACCATACACACACGTGCACAACCCATATTTGCGCGTGCACTCGCATGAACACACGTACGCGTGCACAGACGCACAGACACAGACACACGTGCACAGACAGACAGACAGACAGACAGACAGACAGACAGACAGACAGACAGACACACACACACACACACAAAGCAACGCAGTACAGCACAGCACAACGCAGCGGAACGCAGGACAACACAGCGCAGCAGTGTGCCCGCACCTCCTTGCCGACGTTGAAGTCCTCCACCTCGTAAAACTCGTCATCGCGCGGCGCAGGCTTGGGCACGCGGTGTCGTCGCAGCAGCTTGCCTGGCATGGTGGCGTCGGCAGCAGCAGCAGCAAATACGCACGGAATTGTGTGTCGGGTGAGTGATTAATGGGGAGGATAGGGTGCATTGCTGGTGCAGTAAACGCAGCAATGATAACACCATGCAGATACAGACCCAGGCAGCACCCAAACACAGCAAAGGTACACAGACACAGATACATGGGCACAGACACACAAACCCACACAACACACACAACAGCCACGCACACACACAGCCACACACACACACACAACACGCACACACACACACACAACAGCCACACACACACACACACACACACACACACACACACACACACACACACACACAAACAAACAAACAAACAAGCAACAGACGCACAGACACACACACAGACACAGACACACACAGCAGCAACAGCAACAGCTCACGCGCAACCGACCTTGCGGGAGACCGCTGTCTGCCTTTGGAGGCTCAATGACCTCCAGAGTGTCGTCCTCGGGAAAGAAGAAGATCTTGCACTTGCGAACGCGAAAGTGCTCCTCGCGCCGCTCGTGCACCGCCTCCTGAAAGTACGCGTCAAACGACAGCGTCTGCGCGTGTAGTGTGTGTGTGTGTGTTCGTGTGTGTGTGTGATGTTGTGTGTGTGTGTGATGTTGTGTGTGCAAGAAAGAAAGGGTGGAGACAGGTAAGGGGGGGATGGACGCATGCTTGGATCGAATGTACATCAAGGCGAATGCATGCGGACACGCTTGCGTCCAAACGGATGCACCTGTCGGTCAAAGACGAGCCATGCTGGCTGCTTGGCAACGGTGGGATCACTGCGCAGAGTGGAGCTGGGGACGCGCTTTGCTTTGTCTGCAGAGGGTTGCATAATTTGGGGGGAGGGGACGGATTTGGAGTTAGGTAACGTTGAAGGCTTGCAGTGCCTTGATCTGTGAGTACGTGCACACAAACTCAAAAAAACAAAAACAACAAAGGGCAAAGCACAGCAACCGCCCACTGCACAAGCAGAAGCATGTAAGCAAGCACGCAAGCAAGCACACACCTGAATCTGAGAGGACGACGGGAACGCCGTTTGCGAACGTCAGCTGTTGCTTGCGGGGCTTTGGCGCCTGGTCAGTCTGATGGCACAAAGGAGCAAGGGCCATAGAGCACCAAGCGTGAGCACATGTCACCGTGTCACCTGGACAACATTGAGCAGTCGTCTCCCACTTTGCACACGACACACATACACACGAACACACACGACCACATGCTGCGTCTCTCTCACATTGAAGGAGTTGCCAGGGAGCGGTGGCAGCGTCGATTGGCGGAAAGCCATGGCGGCTGTCAAGCTGTGTGATCTGTGTGTGTGTGTGTGTGTGTGTGTGTGTGTGTGTGTGTGTGTGTGTGCGTGTGTGTGTGCGTGAGTGTGTGTGTGTGTGTGCGTGAGTGAGTGAGTGCGAGTGTCTGCGTATGTATGTGTGTATGTGTATGTGTGTATGTGTATGTGTGTGTGTGTATGTGTGTGTGTGTGTGTGTGAGTGTGTGTGAGTGAGTGTGAGTGTGAGTGTGGCACAGGAGGCAAGAAGAGTTCTTCTCGACTCGACGTTGACTACAGCTACATCGTCGCCTGCATCGCCGCCACAACAACACTCCCTCATCACATCACCGCCGCCTCCTCACCCTTTTTTCGGTCGCGGTTTGTTGGGTTTTCCTTCGCAACGGCAAATTGTGATGTCTGTTACGGGTGTGGGATAATTGCTGAGTGTTTTGCAACATGAATCAACACAGTGTATTTCCATGAAAACTTCAACAAACAATCGTACCCACCCATATTAGGGCATGGAATCATTATCAAAATAAAAGAAAAATGACCACGCAAATGTAAAACATGTTTGAACATGACATGATCCTAATGCTTTTCTTGCTGCTGCTGTCTGTGGGCCTCTTCTGACTTCGCTTCTTCGCTTAGCGTGCAAGCACGTGATGTGGCGACGAGGGCAAAGACCAGAAGCAAGAACAAACACATTAAGGCAGAGCACCGAAGTGGCCGGATTGGCCAAAGGTGGTTGGCGTGGGGTTGGGTGGGACAGACCGTGGCCCACCGGTTTACGCCGGAGTGCCCCGCACTGTGGTGGCGAAGGAGCTAATTCTGTGATGTTTTGCTTCAAAACTCCATGATCACTTCCTTGCACTTCCACACGATCGAAGTCGACCGTTTGACCCATGGGGGTGTGGCGTGGCTGGGCAACGGCGCGGGTCGAAAGGTGTTGCGTGGCGGGGCGGTTGCCGTGATGTAGCGTGCTGTGCTGTAGCGTGCTGTGGTGTGCTCAGTGGGGGTTGGTGTCGAATACCGGTGCATGCACGCAACAACTTGTCCAGTAGCGCGCCACAGGGAAGTGCCAAGGGGCGTGTGTAGTGTTTTGTGTGGGGAGAACATCGGGACAAAACGACACGCTGCTGCGAGGCTAAACACACGCCCTGCATTGCGCGTGGGCCAATGTGCAGGCCATGAGGCGTGGATGACGCCACGCGACGACAACTTGCTCGCACACCCACGAAACATCCGCACAACCTTGTGCTTGACATGCAGGGCGCGGTTTCGGTTAAGCGCACTTCCCTTGCACATCCAAACATAAAGCCAAGCTGCACACTGACCAGGGACACTTAGGCTGTGTGTTTTGCTTTACGCAACGCGCCAAACAAAGAGGCAACACCACACGCAACAAACACACACACTTGTGCACACATGCACACGCGCGCACACGCACACACACACAACAACAAAAAAAACTAAAACGGCTTGATGTTCGTTGGAGGGGGCAGGGGATTCGTTTGGTTGGTTGTGGCCCACTCGTTGTCCAAGCCAAGCCGCCAGCAGTTTGGTGCTCTTCCACAAACTCACGCACACGCACACACAGCACACAGCACACGGCGCGCCAAGCGCAGAAAGCAAAGCAAAAAAAAAAACCAAGCCAAGCCACAACAGCCAAGCACACGCACACGCACACGCACAGATACAAGCGCCAAGCGCCACCAGCCACCACGCCATTACACGACAGCATTGCCGTCATCTCGTTCTATTGTTCTATTGTCGCGGCTCCACTTCCTTGTGAGTTTTGCCAGTGGTGTCAGGTGTTTGTTCATTTTCTACACCTCTGCACTTCCCTCCGCTGCACACCTTACGGCAACCGCTCATCAGCGACCCAGAGCGCCATTGACTGAGCGCGCCCGCTTGACGAAAGAACAAACGCAGAAGCAAACAAAACACCGCGCCACACCAGCAGCCAAGTTGTCTCCATTCGTGCCACCCCCGTCTCTGTTTCACTCATTTTCTCAACCTCCACTTTCTCCACCAACAGCATCGAGTGCGCGAGTTTCTCCTTTGCTGGATCATCTCTTGATACCTCCTCCACCACCATCCATTACAGCACCTCCAAGCAGATAACACAACACCAAGACAAAAAGAGCCGCAACAGCCACCAGCAGCAGCAGCACCAGCTTTGCTTCCGCTGAAACACGCAGTGTCAACCCGAGTTGCCCCTGCTCAGCAGCACAACATCTCAAGATGCAGCTCAACATGAACATGTTGCTCCTCCAGCTCGCCCTTGTGTGCGCGCTCTTTGCCTCTGCCACGGTAAGCTTTGTTGGTTGTTGTGTGTTGTTGTTGTTGTTGTTGTTGTTGTTGTTGTTGTTGTTGTGGTTGCCTGCAGGCATGTTGTTGTTGTTGTTGTTGTTGTTGTTGCCTGCAGGCATGTTGTTGTGCGCCTTCTCCCTCCCTCCTCCCCCCCCCCCTCTCTCCTCTGCTTGTTGTCTCCTTGTGTTCTTTTTCTCCGCTTGCTTTCTCCCCCCCCCCCACACGCTATCCCAACCCGGCTGCAGTGCCACCGTCGATTTCCGAGCTAGTCGGGGTTTACTTGGTTCCTTTTGCCGCCGGTCCCTTCTTGTGTCTCTTCTCTCCTGGCTTGTCTCTCCTTGCCCCCCCCACTCTTTTCCCAGCTCTCTCTCGGTCTCTCTATCTCTCTTCTCTCTCTCTCTCTCCATACCTGGTTCCGTCGCTTGTTTTCCCTCCTTCCTCGCAGCATTCGTGCTGTTTTCCCATGAGCAACAACAACAACACACAAGGGGGCTGCACTCGCACACACCCACCCATGCATACATGGTGGCGCGTGTTTTGTCATGGGTGTTGCGTTGCATGCACCATTGCTCGCGCCTCTTTGTGTGTGTGTGTGTGTGTGTGCTTTGCCGTGCATATGCATGCACTCCCATATGTGTGTGGAAGTGCAATGTGTTGCTCGTGTTTGGTCACTGTTTTGGTCTCTCTTCCATGGTTGCCGGCAGTTGTTTGCAGTTTGTTTGCAGTTGTTTAGCCGTCTCCCCTCCTCTTTGCTTGGCTACAAGCAATGACCTTTGCTCTCTACTCCTGTCTCCCTCTCCCTTTCTTTTTCCTTTAGTTCACCACCTGACACACACGCACACATGCACATGTGGTTCTGCGCAACACGTCGTCACTCACCCACCAACTGTATCCTGCCTTCTTCTTCCTCCTTGCTTTCCCTCCCACCGCCATCACCACAGAAGGCAGACAATTGCTATGGCCTTGACGTGTACGCGTGCTCTGCAAACGACGCGTGCACGCTGGACCTGGACGCCAACGACCGCCTGTACTGTCGCGCCTTCTCCTGCCGCGCCCTCCACGCCGACTGCGAGATTGACACCCACGGCTGCTACTTCAACACCGTGACTGGCGTCTGCTACCCGCTCGACACGGAGCCCGCATGCGCCGACTACTTCAGCGAGACCACCTGCCCAACAGACCGCTGCTCCTTCCTCTCCGAGCTCAACCTCTGCTACGAGGGCGCCTCGGTTGAGGCCATCCCTTGCGACGTCACCCACACGCAGATTGGCTGCGGCTACCTCCCCCACTGCGAGTTCCACTACATGTGGGACAACAGCTGGGGCGTGTGCACGCCACAGTTCCAGGACCCGCCCTGCTACCTCTACGAGCCCGTGCCCGGCCAGTGCCCCGACGACCGCTGCCTCATCGTCCCCACCCTCGAGATTGGCGTCTTCGCCTGTGCTCCCCTCCCCACCACCACAACCACCGTCCCCAACGAGAGCGGCAGCGGCAGCGGCAGCGGCAGTGGCAGTGGTGACACCACCACCAGCGGTACCCTCAGCGTGCTCCCTCTGTCCACCTTCTACTCAACCCCAGCCCCTACCACGACGAGTGGCACCCTCAGCGTGCTCCCTCTGTCCACCTTCTACTCAACCCCCGCGCCCACCACGACGAGTGGCACCCTCAGCGTCCTCCCGCTCTCCACCTTCTACTCCACCCCCGCGCCCACCACGACGAGTGGCACCCTCAGCGTCCTCCCGCTCTCCACCTTCTACTCCACCCCAGCTCCTACCACGACGAGTGGCACCCTCAGCATCCTCCCGCTCTCCACCTTCTACTCCACCCCCGCGCCCACCACGACGAGTGGCACCCTCAGCGTCCTCCCGCTCTCCACCTTCTACTCCACCCCCGCGCCCACCACCACAAGCGGCACTCTCCTTGTTTTCCCTCTGTCCACCTTCTACTCCACCCCGGCTCCGTCTGCGGACAAGGCCAGCAGCACGTTCTCCACCACAACCGTGGTTGTCTTTGCCGTTGGTGTTGTTATTGCTGCCGCCATCATTGCCGTCGCCATCGTCCGTGTCAAGTAAGTTGCATGTCGATGTCCCTCACCTTGTTGCTGCCGTTTGCTTGTTTGCTTGTTTGCTTGTTGCATCGACTGCACCTCTTGGATCTCAACACCCGCTCACCATTGTTGTGTGTCCTCCCACCCCACTCCACTCCACACGTGTAGGTCTCGGCCAAAGGTCCGTGTTGCCCACGACCTGAGCGCCGTGATTGCAATGGACGACCACGCCAAGGGCCGCGCTGCGCCTGCCTCGCTGAAGAAGGCCGCACACGGTGGCGTCGTCATCCCCGTGGCCCCCGCCATCGACGTCTAAAGCATGCCGCAGCTCCAGCAATAGGTCGACGACTGTGGATCATGGCGGGCTTGGTGATGGGCTTGGTGATGGGGGTGGTGGTCAGCACCGGTTCAGTGAACTTGCCGGCCAACCCCTCTTTGCCAACGCTTACTCCCGCTACCACACGTCACCATGTCGCTCGCTGCGCGCTGTTGTTGTTACTGCTTTCCTTTCCCTTTCCTTTTTTCTTCTTCGTTTGTTTGACTTCTGGCAAGCCGCAGGCTGCTGCTGCTGCCCCACTCGTCACTCGTTCGCCCACCTCCCGTTTGTTCAACACCCGGCCGTTTATCTCCACTGTTATTTCTCTCCATGTGCCGTTGGTGTCCTCCTCCCCCCCCCATCTTGTTGCCTCAACACATCACCGCGTTTTGGCCTGCACTAGCTCTTCCACTTGTCCTCAACAGTGTCTTGCAGCAGCAGCTTGCCTGCCTGCCTGCCTGCCTGCCTGTTGGATGGACCGTTGCTTGTTGCCGTGCACAATCCGGATTGATGGCTTTGCTTTCCCGGTTGCGACTTGTGACGCGTCATGTGTCCACAGTTCCCTTCCCGGTCTCAGTCACATTCGCTTGTTTTTTTGTCTTGTGTGTTTGTTTGTCTCGTGTTATTTGTTCGTTTGTTCGTTTGTTCGTTTGTTTGTTTGTTTGTGTGTGTTTTTCCTTCCTTCTGTATGAACCGCTCTGTGTCAATATCGCCATCGCCACTTTCCATTCACTGTTTCACCAGAAAGCTTTCGTTTCTCTTTTGCGTGTGCGTGTCGCCACGTCTGTCGTTGATTGCGACTCGCCTCATGGCTGTTGTTGCGCCCTTTCGACGTGCTTCAGGCACACACACGTCTGTGTCTTCGCCATTCCCTGGCCACTCTGTGCGTGTTTCCCGCCCGACTTTTGTAATTTTTCACCGTCTCCTCCCACTCGGCGGTTACCGCCTGCCCATCTCTCTTCCCTGACGCACGGATGCACGAGTATGGTTGTCGTTGTTGCTGTGGTTATTCGCTGCACCGACACACACGGTCGCGCGATGGCTACCTTGCTTTGCTTGCATGCAAGCAGCAAGCGCGCCAATCAACTAGCATCACCGTCTTACATGCTCGTTGCTTCTAATCAGTGGAGGCGGGAAAGGCAGCGCGTTTTCTGCCTGTGTGTGTGTGTATGTTTGTTTGTTGAGTTGCTTATATTTAAGGGCAACCCTTGTTTGGATGTATGGACGTGTGTGTCGTGTGTGTATGATTCCTTGTCACGTGTGGGCCAACCACTCAACTCAAACTCAAACTCATTCGTTTGCGCCAATTACAACCAAATCATGAGAAAGTATATGTAGATCATGTAAGAACCACAAGGTGTTAAGTGGATGACAAGGAGGGCTAGAGGGAGGGCGTGTGTGCGTGTGCTTTAAGGAGAGGGGGAACGTTGGCAGAAGGACAGCGAGCCAAGGTGTGCACATGCCGTGTGTACAGTGCCGTGGTGTGTGTGTGTGTGTGTGTGTGTGTGTGTGTGTGTGCTCTCTTGTGGCGACAGGCTTAGGGCACGGGCGTGGTTGACGTGGTCACTTCGACGTCGCAGTCCACATTGGCCGTGAGGAACGCGCAGTTTTTCCTGGAGATGTTGTGTGAAAGTTTGTGTGTTTTGTGTGTATGTTTGTGTTGTGTGCGCGAGGGGATGGGGAAGAGAGGGGGGATAGGAACAAGGATAGAGCAGCACGAACACGCACAGGCACAGGCACACGCAAACGCACACGCACAGGCAAAGGCAAAGGCAAAGGCACAGGCACAGGCAGACGCACCAGCATCTGAGAGTCGACAGCACGTCGTCGCTTGTCGTTGCGGGCGTAATGTCCGGGCAGTCGCTCAAGCAGATGCCATAATCGATGAGGGCGAGCTCAGTGTGGTGCCCGGCAACCGCAACGCAGTCTGTGTACGCGTCCAGCGAATAGTCCGCAAAGATGCCCTGCAAGGTGTTGTGTGTGTGTGTGTGTGTGTGTGTGTGTGTGTGTGTGTGTGTGTGTGTGTGTGTGTGTGTGTGTGTGTGTGTGTGTGTGTGTGTGTGTGTGTGTGTGCAACGGTTGAGAGGTGCACCCACGCAAACGCAAGGATTGGAAGCGGGGATGTATCAGGGCACCCCCCAAGGAATGGAATGCAAACACGCGGGGGAAAGAGGGGGGGGGGGATGTGGAGTAGATGACCCAGTTGCGGACCGGACATGTATAACATGGACACGCGCGCACACAATGGCATGCACGAACACGTCACTCCTGACACAGCATCAACGGCAAGCGTGCAACTGTTCATGGGATGTGGTTCGTGTGCTGCACTCACTTGGCTCAGGCACACGTGCACGCGCTCTTCGCAACCGTAGCCACACCCTGATGTCGATGTTGTTGTTGTAGTTGTAGTTGTTGTTGTTGTTGTTGTTGTTGTTGTTGTTGTTGTTGTTGTTGTTGTAGTTGTAGTTGTTGTTGTAGTTGTAGTTGTTGTTGTAGTTGTAGTTGTTGTAGTTGTAGTTGTTGTTGTTGTTGTTGTTGTCGTCGTCAGTTCCACCTCGCTCACGCTTGTCACACTGCATCTGTTGAACCGGAAGTTGGCGCTGGCTGTGCATTCCACGAGCTTGTCCACTTCGCCGGAGCTCAGCACCGTCGTGCGGAAAGTTGTTCCGTTCACCACGTGGATGGTTGCGGCCGTGTCGCCGTTGTAGCGACACAACTGCGAAGATGATGGTGGTTGTGATGTGTGTTTTGGTGGAAGAGGGATGGGGGAAGCGTCAGGGAGAGGTGTGAGTGGAGAGAGCAAAGTGAGAGAGAGGGGAGGGGGTGATAGAGGGTAGGCACACGTGCGGAATTACGGACGCACGCGGTGTGTATAGCCAGGTAGACAGGTGGACAGGTGGACAGGTGGACAGGTGGACAGGTGGACAGGTGGACAAGCACACACACACACACACAAAACAAACAAACAAACAAACAAACAAACAAACAAACAAACAAACAAACACAAACAAACACAAACAAACACACAAACAAGCAAACAAACTAACTAACAAACAAACAAACAAACAAACAAACAAACAAACCCTGCCGATGTGGCAATCTTCCTGAAGCGCCTGTTTCCAGCGCATGGCGAAGAAGTCGAGCCCGCCTTCATCGCGCTCGTCCAGCGGCAGACCGCGGTCGCAGTCAACAGTGACCTGCAGCCGTGATGGCGGCGGTGGTGGCAGTGTGAGTACACTGTGTGTGCAGAGACAACAACTTGTGGGAGGTGCGTCAAGATTCGCACGAGGAAGGATTTACGCACACGTTCACCTCCACGTTCACACACACACACACACACACACACACACACACACACACACACACACACACACACACACACACACACACCTGCATGCCGGTGCTGAAGATGGTCTGAGTGCAGTTGGTGATGGCGACGCAGCCATTGGCTTCCGTGTCATTGCAGCGGTACACCTTATCGCAGCCTTTACAACACACACACACACACACACACACACACACACACACACACACACACACACACACAAGCACAAGCACAGGCGTGCACGTGATCTTATGCTTGGAGTACATAGAGCAATGAGGAGGCTGCACAGATGAGTTATGTTGTACGATGAGAAAAAACGCACGCAGCGGGCGAAAAATACTGC